CAGTGCCGGCTGGCGACTCCCAGGGGGAGGGCCTTCTCGGTGGGAGCCCCCACCCTCTGGAATGAACTACCCCCAGAGATCCGGGTGATCCCGGATCTCCCTTCCTTCCGCCGCGCCCTTAAGACATGGCTATTCCAACAAGCAGGACTGGCCTAGGGGGAGATTTTTAATGGGGTTTTAAAAATAATTTTAAATTGACCCAGGCCACATCAAATATTTTATTTTAATTATGTTTTAAAGTGGGTATCTCTATCTCTGTATTGTTTTTATTAGGCTGTCAGCCGCCCTGAGTCCGTAAGGAGAAGGGCGGGATAAAAATCCAAACAAATAAATAAATAAATAAATTAGTTTGCAATAGGGAAATACGCTTTGAACAGTTTGCCTTAGAATTCTAGAACAATCGGGGGGGAGAAATAAATATACTAATCTTGGAATGCATATTTCTGTTGCAGTGCTTGAGATAGCAGTTATTACTTCAAAGAAAGTGGTGTGACTTGGAAATGAGTTCTTTTATTAAAATGCTACTTTGTTTGCATGAACTCATTACATGTGTCTACTATAACATGCAGCATAACAATCTTGCATGATAATAAGTATGCAGTTGAAACTGCAATAGATCTAATGATCAACTTGAAATATATGCACATGCCTCTATCCTCTCATCTTTGATCAATATTCTTTTCTCTGGACTAGTATTAAGCAAATAAATTATATTAAAAGACATCCACACAGAATTTCAAAACAAAAACAAAAACCACACCTCAGTTTATTCTACTACTTCCAAGTAAGATACCCTGCTTTTCCAGGATCTCTGGCTCGGTTTCCCTTACATCCAACAGGCTGTCCAGAGCGACTTCGCAAATCTCGATCTGGCATTTCACTTTGGGCCACCTCTTCATCATATCTAAGGGAAGAGAGATAAACATCAATGGCTGGTTTGGATCAAAAGGGTGAAATTTTTCTTAAGTGGAATTGCAACAGTTGCCAGGTGAAGAAGCTGTAGACATGAGTGCTCTACCATTTTAAAGAAAACTCCTCAATACAGAACCCCGGATGAGGAAAACAGCTAGTTCTTTTATTTTATTTGTATGTAAAGTTTAAACCAGGGGTCTTCAAATTTGGCCCTTTTATGACTTGTGGACTTCAACTCCCAGAATTCCTCAGCCAGCGTACCTGGCTGAGGAATTCTGGGAGTTGAAGTCCACAAGTCATAAAAGGGCCAAGTTTGAAGACCCCTGCTTTAAAGTGTATCCACTTGAGGATATTTTTAAAAAAACCAAATTACTGCTCTTTCCTGTCCATAATTAATCCATATGATATAATCAATAAACTCTAACTTTGGGGAAAACACTGGTTCCTGTTCACAAAGTTAAGTGATAAATCTATATGCATGCCTGTGACTCTTAGTACACAGCTAGACCTTGACTTACAACTATTTGATTAGTGACCATTCCAAGTTAAAACAGCACTGAAAAAAGTGTCTTATGACGATTTTTCACGCTTACAATCACTGCAGCATCCCCCATGGTCATGTGGTCAAACTTTGGGTGGTTGGAATTGGCCTATATTTATGACAGTTGCACTCTCCTGGGATCAGGTGATCACCGCCGGCTTCCAACAAGCAATGACGGAAGCCAAATTCACTTAACAACTGAACTGATTCCTTAATAACTGTGGGAAAAGGTTGTAAAATGAGACACAACTCGCTTAACAACCACCTTGCTTAGCAACAAAAAAAATGGTTGTCATAAGTCGAGGACTACCTATACACACAAATAAACACAAACACACATCCTTTCTTAAAATAGTGCCTTGGCCCTGGTGAACAGAATACTGTTCTCTGAATCTATGCACTTGTGATATCAGTTCCATCATTAAAAATGAAGAATTTGATGGTATTTCCCATCACTATTTTTCCTCCAATAAAATCGATTCAGTGTGCATTCTAGTAGCAAGGCAGTAATGGTTAATACATCATGACCTGATGTCTTGACTTAACAATTAATGTGGATTCATTGTGAAACCTCCATAGAGTAAGATCTTGGCCAAATAGAACTCTAGCAAATCCATTTCTATATATCTATTCTTAAACACTTACAAAATTTCATAATTCCCAAGAGCTTCTTTGGGGGGCGGTTTATTCCATTTACAATCAGGAATTTCTCCATTGGGCACAGCAATATTCAGTGTGTCATTTATCAGATTGTACTTGAGTATACGGTCATTTGCAGTACTGGAAGTAAGAGATGGAGAAGCATTAACCTATGGAGAATGCAGGAAAGAGAAAACGGGTAATTCATGGTCATCATTTGCTCAATAAATAGCAGCTTATGAAATTAGAATTGAGTAGAGTAGAATAGAATGGGATGGAATAGAGTAGAGTAGAGTAGAATAGAGTAGAGAAGAGTAAAGAAGAGTAGAGTAGAAAACTTTATTGTCACTTTAAATGTACACTAAAATGCATACATTAAAATGAAATTTTATTGCAAACAAACTTGCATCAAAATTTCTACATCAGATAAAATAACAAGTAATCTGGTAGCACTTTTTTTCTGATTAACAGATCTGCAGATTACCTAAACTACTACCTTCTAATAAAACCTGTTGGTTGGAAAAAGTCCTACCAGGCATCTTCTGCACTGATATGCCTCTCTTCCTTCTAAGTATATACTTCTAAAGTTTTGTTCCTTAAGGATATTATCTATTATGTTTCTTTAGACCATTACGTTTAAAGAGAAATCGTTGCAACAAGAAAGGAAATTAAGTTATTTATATATTTTATATAGTGAAAAATTACATACATTGTTATATATTAAAAATGTAAGACAAAGCTTCGTTCTGTGGAAAGCGTCTCAGTTGCATAATTTACAATATCTTTTTTAAACTTTCTGTTCAATGTTCAACGTAACATGGGCCAGTGCAGGAAACCAGGATTAAATGATATGTGTGATAACTCATGTCACAAACTTCATCGTTATGTATTTACAGGTAATCCTCGATTTACGACTGATTGCTTAGCGATCGCTTGAAATTATGACAAATCACCCAAGACTACTTGTGATCCAGATTCGAGATTCTGATGGTTGTTTCCCTCCCCCCCCCATAATTACATGATGGCATTTTGGGTGCTTGACATATGGCCTGCATTTAGGGCCAATTGCAGTGTCCCACAGTTATGTGGTGTTTACTTCTGGTTTCCAATAAAAAGTGCCCATTGCTGACAGTGAATTCACTTAATGACTGCCGCATTTGCTTTACAACTGGCACAATTGTTTGCTTAATGAGTGACCACAAAAGGTCAAAGTTGGGCATTATAGGAGAAAGATTGCCCAAGCCTACTTGTCCACCTGACCGGCATGATTCAAGACTATAACTCTGGGCTCAATCACATTTGTAATTTGCGGACTATCTGTATGTTCCAACTTCTGATGCAAGAATGTAAATTGAGACTTAGTATATGATCATTCTTTTCAAGTGCCTGAAATCACAAGAATGCCACAACACGTTATCTGTTCTCCTATTTAAAGGAAAGCAATTATAGTAAGGTGGCTGGATGGAATCACTGAAGCAGTA